ATCACCCTCACAAGCTGGTATCTCAGGCCCTGACTGTTCCCCTTCGGAATTAGCTATGAACAATAGGCTATAATAAAAACTCTCCTTCACTGAAGGTTAGATTGCCACCTGCCAATGGCTTCTTTGGCTGGGGTTTAGGCACCATGGGGGGTTGGACTAGATGACTCTCGTGGTCCCTTCCAACTCTAGGATTCTATGGGATTTGCCTTTTCCACAGCTGCCATGCACAGGTCAACAACATCTTCATCCAACTATCCACTACAACTTCAAGGACCTCGTTCCTGGTCAGCCAGACCCCATAAGCTCATACGGGAAATTTGTGCCCCGGCATGGATCGCTTTTCGCACTTGTCTACACTAAATTGCATTTGCCACTTTACCACTCATTTGGAAAGGTCCTTCTGAAGCTGTTTTTTGTTTTGTTTTGTTTTGTTTCGGTGGCCCTGAACAGTTTAGTACCATCAGCAAACTAGGCCACCTCCCTGCACACCCCTAACTCTAGATATTTTCTGGGGGATGACGCTTATTCCAAGGTAACCCTCCTATCGCAGGGCAGGAACTCCGACAGCAGTGATAAAAACCTTCTCTCATGAGATTTCAAAACTGCACATCAGCATTCCACTGGCATTTCTTTTCCAGCTCTCAAGGTTTGGTTTGTTCTCTCTCTCTCTCTTTAAAGAAGAAGGATGTGAAAAAACGTAAACCTGCTGAGTAGTATCCCAGGAGCCTCGGGGCTTTTCTACCACCTACACAGATAATTACCCCTAGATTGGGTGTTTGCGATCCAAGCCTCCCGGTGGCTAGCAGAGACTTGAAGTAGACCAGCTGGCAGAAGAGTTGACACATCAAACAGAACAAGGTGTGGCAAAGCTGGCCGGCGCTCCCTATCAGGGGCTGTGTGAGAAGCAGAGGGAGCCTGAGAGATTGGCTTCTCAAAAGAGATAACCATCTTCGTTCAGCACATCTCACAGCCAGGCCGATTCCAAGGCGATTGTATGAACTAGCATACCCGTCCCCTGTCATCGTCCCCCGGCACGTTGCCATGTAGGTGAGGTTGAATCCTGACAAGACAGAAGTACTGTTCTTGGGAGACAGGGGGCAGGCTGGTGTGGAGGACTCCCTGGTCCTCAGTGGAGTAACTGTGCCCCTGAAGGACCAGGTGCGCAGCCTGGGAGTCATTTTGGACTCACAGCTGTCCATGGAGGCACAGGTCAATTCTGTGTCCAGGACTGCTGTCTACCAGCTCCATCTGGTATGCAGGCTGTGACCCTACCTGCCCACAGAGTTTCTCTCCAGAGTGGTGCATGCTCTAGTTATCTCCCACTTGGACTACTGCAATGCACTCTACATGGGGATACCTTTGAAGGTGACCAGGAAACTACAACTAATCCAGAATGCAGCAGCTAGACTGGTGACTGGGAGTGGCCACCGAGACCACATAACACCAGTCTTGAAAGACCTACATTGGCTCCCAGTATGTTTCCGAGCACAATTCAGTGTGTTGGTGTTGACCTTTAAAGCCCTAAACAGCCTCAGCCCAGTATACCTGAAGGAGCGTCTCCACCCCTATCGTTCTGCCCGGACACTGAGGTCCAGCACTGAGGGCCTTCTGGCGGTTCCCTCACTGCGAGAAGCAAGGTTACAGGGAACCAGGCAGAGGGCCTTCTCGGTAGTGGCGCCCACCCTGTGGAATGCCCTCCCATCAGATGTCAAAGAGATAAACTACCTGACATTTAGAAGACATCTTAAGGCAGCCCTGTTGAGGGAAGTTTTTAATGTGTGACATTTTAATGTATTTTTAATATTTGTTGGAAGCCGCCCAGGGTGGCTGGGGAGACCCAGCCAGATGGGTGGGGTATAAATAATAAATATATTATTATTATTATTATTATTATTATTATTATTATTATTTAGGTGATATCACAAGGTATTTTAGTTCCTGGGAGCATGGCACTTAGGCGACATGCACACACCATGAAGCATATGGCTTCCCCTGAAAAATCCTGCCTCTTACCCTTCATAGAGCTGCAGTTCCCAGCACCATTAACTGTCATGGTCTGGCTGGATGCAGAGGAGACATCAGATAGGGAACCCCCCAAGGAAAACCCAAGGGAAGGAGGCTCTGAGCCAGGGGATTGGTGGTGGGACAATGATGAGTGGTCAGAGAGAGAAGAACGAGCAGACTGCGGGGCAGAGGTGTCGTAAGCTGAAGAGGTAACAGGGTTTAGTGAGCAGGGAGAGGCTGTGGCAGAGAGCGGTCCAGAAGCGGAGGCAGAAGCAGAGGCTGGATAGGAGCCAGGAGACAGAGATGAGGCAGGCTGCTGAGGAAGCCAGGGGGTCTCCCCTCCCTGCAGCAACCAGCTCCCTGCCAGAAGAGGGTGGAGCAGAGCAGACAAGGTGATGAAATCTCAGGTTGCTTGGGAAGGAACCGGTGGAGGAGGAGACTTAGGGACCTTCAATCCCCACAACTGTTCTACCAGGAAGAGTTGCCGTTCTCTCTAGGCCTAGCCTCCAGAGCTGTCTTGTTTCTTTGAATAAACACTGAAGCCGTGTGAGTTATTGCTGACCTGCACCTGGCACCCACCCCTGACATTAACAAACTACAGTTCCCAGAACTCTTTGTGAGTGTGCCTTAAATATATGGTGTGTACACAGCCCTCATTATTCCTGGATGAAGACAGGAAGTATTTCTGTCCTATTTCTAAGGGGAGAGGTAGTTTTCTTGTGTGTGTTTTTTTAAAAAAATAGCTCTCTTTAGTCCCTTTTCTGAGCAGATTTTGAGAAAAACAGCCTGAAGAATCCACCCACTTTTTACAGCAACAAAAAGTACTTACGAAGTAGTCTGAGGATTGTCTCCTTTTTAGCACTTTTAATGGTTTAAGGTGCTCAGAGTAGCTCCATAGTAATAAAAATAATTTTATTATTTGTAACCCACGCATCTGACTGGCTGGCCCCAGCCACTCCATGGCTATGTGGTAAAATATATCGTAACCTGTAGTTCCTTCCTAAGGAATTGGGGGTGGGAGAAGCTCCCCTCACGTACCTATGGTGGAAGCCATATTTTTCCTCTGTACAATGTCCTTGTACAGAATGTAGGTACAAGGGAAATATTTCCTCCAAAATGTTGAGCATACCAGAACTCTTCCCAATCCCTGTTCTGTTCTTTCTAGAGAGAGACAATAAAATTCTTTCTAGAGAGAGACAATAAAATTCTAGTCTAGCTTCCTTAATGTCCTCCATGCCTTGGTGTGAGAAGTCAATTTTAACATTCCTAATGGGAAAGAGAAGAGAAGACTCCCTGGAAAAGACCCTGATGCTGGGAAAGATGGAGGGCACAAGGAGAAGGGGACGACAGAGGACGAGATGGTTGGACAGTGTTCTCGAAGCTACCAGCATGAGTCTGACCAAACTGCGGGAGGCAGTGGTGCCTGGCGTGCTCTGGTCCATGGGGTCACGAAGAGTCGGACACAACTAAACGACTAAACAACAACAACAATGGGAAAGAAGATGGTACATTTTCCTGCACAAGAATCGTTTGGCTTTCATAATCCTCTTGTAAACAGGGAAGTTCCACAAGGAAGGAATCGTGCAAGTAAGGCCACTCCTTTATGGTATGGGGAAAGATGCTTTCTAAATCCTTTGCCTTCACTGAAGAGGGCCTAAGTTCAACGGTGAAAGTATTTTGGGAAAGTCTGATGCCGATTTCTGATGGAATGTGGTTTATGAAGGGACCTGAGCTCAAAAAAAGACAACAAGACCCTCCCTCTTGGCTTCGCTGATGCGGTCCAAAGGAAAGCAGAGCAATACGTTTGGCACCAGCTTGGCTGAACTAGGGTGGCGCTGTGGTCTGCACACTGAGCCTCTTGGGCTTGCTGATTGGAAGGTCGGCGGTTCGAAACCCTGTGACGGAGTGAGCTCCCATTGTTCTGTCCCAGCTCCTGCCAATCTAGCAGTACAAAATCACACCAGTGCAAGAAGATAAATAGGTACCACTGTGGCAGGAAGGTAAATGGCGTTTCTGTGCACTCTGGTTTCCGTCAGGGTGTTCTGTTGTGCCAGAAGCGGTTTAGTCATGCCGGCCACATGACCCAGAAAGCTGTCTGTGGACAAACGCTGTCTCCCTCGGCCTGAAAGCGAGATGAGCGCCACAATTCCATAGTCGCCTTTGACTGGACTTAACTGTCCAGGGGTCCTTTACCTTTTTCTTTTTTTTTTAACCTTTTACCTTTACTAGTTGCCAGGAGGCGTAAAAGACATAGAGACTGCACACCTTAGCCTTTTCTTCTCCCAAAGATAAGGCACAAGGCAGAAGAAGTTTAGGACCAGAGTTTTCCTTCTTCTAGATGGGCTCCCTCCCCAGGTTGACAAGCCTCATCTGCCCCTTACTTTCCTCTACAGCACATGCAGAAACAGCCTTCTTTACCATTGGAACCACCATTGGTCTTGTCTTCTCAATCTGCCAGGGCCTGTCTTCACATGCAGGGGAAGTCCCTCACTCACTAAGGGTTTGACACCCCATTGGCTACCCTCACCTAGTTTAGTTGGCCAGTCGAAGCCCGGGGTGTGGTCACTGTCGCATGCTGACAGCTTCTAGGAACTACAAGTGAGAGCTGGGTGCAGGATGAAGACCAAAGGTGGTCAGACAACCCCAGAAGGAGCAGGACGTTTCCCACTCCAGATGTTAACAACCCCATACACCCCATATTAGGGTAAAATGTGCTTCTAAAATGCACCTGTTCATGAAAATAACACCCAAAGGTGCTATGAATTAGGAGGAAAGTCTTTGCAAAGTTGCGTTTATTAGACAGAACTGCATACCAAAAAAACGAGTTTAACGGGATAAATACACATTAATGCACTGGTGGATCTTCATGACTTTTTAAATATTAAATAACTGAAGTTAAGATTGGAAAAAATAAGACGAGGGAGGCAACTGAAATTGACCGACTTGCCCATTCCTGTTTGGGGAAGCCACCACGTCAAAAGCAGTCTGTTGCTCACCTGTGTCTGTCCAACAGCAGCTCAATAAATTTCTTGGTTTGGCCGCATCCTGAGGACTGTAAAAACAAGGGGGCTGCCTTGCAGGCTAAAATATATGGCTTGTGGGTTAGATTTGTTTTGGTGGGTCACAAGGAGCCATGCAGGATCCAGGCCCAACAGTGGCCGCCTTGTAACATATTTCCTTCTTTGTGTGTGCCAGACGTCCTATCCAGTTCCTCCTACTTGCGCATTAAAATGCAGAAGGCTGCAAAGCGTCTTCAGATCTTTTCGCTCCAGTCTTGCTATCACTTTACAGCCCTCATAAATCAAGCGAGCCTAACCCCCCACCCCACCCCACCCTTAACATTTCGCAAAAGCTGCAGCGAGAAAGTTAGGATCTTGCCGTCCAAACAGCTTTGTGGGCTGGATAACAAATGCGCTCCTCTAATGTTGCCTCGTTTCCTCAACGCAGCTTGACTTCTTAATGAGATCTTTAAGCTCCTAGGCTAACGAAATGTATTAACTGTCATCATCGGTATTTTTTTTTTTTTTAATGCAGCGAGAAACAATGATATTCTATTAGAGCCAGGGCTGAGTAGCAGAGGGGTCAGAGTCGGTCTCTTAATTGAAAAAACACACCGGCTGGCTGGACACCCAATCCCTCCGCTCTCCGGCAAATTCCGTCGCAGGCCTTTGCAAAGCATCGCTGTGCAATTTGCTACCACAAGCTGCAGTGATGGCTGCGAACTTTGATGGCGTCAAGGTGGGGTTGGAGAAATTCATGGAAGGGAAGGCTCTCGGTAGCTATGAGCAGTGAAGCCTCAGTATGCTTGTACCAGTATCCCAGTAAGCCTCTGAATACCAATGGCTGGAGAACAACAATGGAAGACGTCTGTTGCCTGTGGGCTTCGCAGTGGCATCTGTTTGGCCACTACAGGATGCAGGATGCTGGCCTGGCCTGATCCAGCTGTGCTTATCTAATGTTCTTAAATGCAGCTGGCTACTGCAAGTGTAGTGGTGTTCCTCTGACAGGGTAGAGCAGGCCAGTATCAGTTTATGGAAAGCTAGAAACTTTTGTGAACTTATTTACAGGGCTGAACTAACAACCGATTAACAGGCAGGGATCTATTTCATGCAGTTGCAACAACCCCTACGAGAAGGAGAAGGATTGTTTTAATTTATTACAGGCCCTAAGGTCCCAGGGCAGGGACGCAGGTGGCGCTGTGGTCTAAACCACGGAGCCTAGGGCTTGCTGATCAGAAGGTTGGTGGTTCGAATCCCCATGACAGAGTGAGCTCCCGTCGTTCGGTCCCAGCTCCTGCCCACCTAGCAGTTCGAAAGCACATCAAGTGCAAGTAGATAAATAGGTACCACTCCGGCGGGAAGGTAAACGGCATTTCCATGCGCTGCTCTGGTTCGCCAGAAGCGGCTTAGTCATGCTGGCCACATGACCCGGAAGCTGTCTGCGGACAAACGCCAGCTCCCTCGGCCTATAGAGCGAGATGAGTACCGCAACCCCAGAGTCATCTGTGACTGGACCTAACAGTCAGGGGTACCTTTACCTTTACCTAAGGTCCCAGGGCAGATTACAACAATTAAAACACAGTGTTAAATTGGTTGAAGGCAAGTTACAATCACAAGAACAGGACGGGTCCTAAAAATTTGCATATCAGGTACCCAAAGTCAGGGTAAAGGGTAGTCTCTTTTTTCTGATAACTGTCCCTAGTAGATATCAGCCCTTATTTTTTCCACACTTACACACATACAATGTCCGCCACTGTTGTTTCCTGTTGGGGATTCCTTGTTAAAAAATTATTGATGTGACTTGGTAGAGCTGTCATTTTTCGGGGTTCAAGATCAGTAGCTATGTTAGACCCTGGGTACAATGACGCGGGTGGCGCTGTGGGTTAAACCACAGAGCCTAGGACTTGTCGATGAGAAGGTTGGCGGTTCAAATCCCCGCGACAGGGTGAGCTCCCGTTGCTCTGTCCCTGCTCCTGCCAACCTAGCAGTTTGAAAGCACGTCAAAGTGCAAGTAGATAAATAGGTACCACTCCGGCGAGAAGGTAAACGGCGCTTCTGTGCGCTGCTCTGGTTCGCCAGAAGCGGCTTAGGCATGCTGGCCACATGACCCGGAAGCTGTACGCCAGCTCCCTCGGCCAATAAAGCGAGATGAGCGCCACAACCCCAGAGTCGGTCACAACCGGACCTAATGGTCAGGGGTCCCTTTACCTTTACCTTTACCTTACAATGATTTTACAGGGAACAGCTCTTATTTTGGTAGTATCGCTTCGGTCATGAAGTGCACGATTAACGTTTCCCGCTTCCACCGCCATTCCAGATTTTGCCTCTGAATCTACCTTCCCAGTACGCTAGAGCAAAACACACACACATCCAAAAACAACTGACCAGTCCTAGTTTTTCCTCCTCCTGTAATTGAAAAATGGCATTTGCTTCCACTGCCCTAATGCAAAAAAACCAAACACTTATTTGGAAATAGGCAGCATTTTGTTGTTGGAAATAATATGAAGTAAAAATAGCAAAATGGGGATCTGTGACCATGTGCAGGAGGCTGTTTTGTACATGACATCCGCTCAGCCAGCCACCCTCTATTATAAAATAAAGAGAGATGCTGATTTGTCCATCACCCCAACATGCCCATGCCAGCCCAGGTGCATGCGCAGGACCTATTTGTTGCTACTTCCATCATCTCTTGCTCCCTGGGTGGTCATTTGGAGGGCCTCTGGGCTGAGGGGGCCCTGGATTTTTCAAGCTCCTCCCCATTCCTCTCTAGACCAGTCTTCACCAACCTGATGGAAGTTGCAGTCTGAAACACCTGAAGGACGCCAGTTTGGCAAAGTCTTATTATTGTTGTTGTTGTTGTTGTTGTTGTTGTTGTTTAGTCGTTTAGTCGTGTCCAACTCTTCGTGACCTCAGGGACCAGAGCACGCCGGCACTCCTGTCCTCCACTGCCTCCCGCAGTTTGGTCAAACTCATGTTAGCAGCTTCGAGAACACTGTCCAGCCATCTCGTCCTCTGTCGTCTCCTTCTCCTTCTGCCCTCCATCTTTCCCAACATCCGAGTCTTTTCCAGGGAGTCTTCTCTTCTCATGAGGTGGCCAAAGTATTGGAGCCTCAGCTTCACGATCTGTCCTTCCAGTGAGCACTCAGGGCTGATTTCCTTCAGAATGGATAGGTTTGAGCTTCTTGCAGTCCACAGGACTTTTAAACTTCGTGGACAAAGACAACAGGCATATCATCATCATCATCATCATCATCATTATTATCATTATTATTTATTTGTACCCCGCCCATCTGGGCGGCTTCCAACGAAGATTAAAAATACATCAAAATGTCACACATTAAAAACTTCCCTGAACAGGGCTGCCTTCAGATGTCTTCTAAATGTTAGGTAGTTGTTTATCTCCTTGACATCTGATGGGAGGGCATTCCACAGGGCGGGCGCCACTACCGAGAAGGCCCTCTTCTGCCTGGTTCCCTGTAGCTTTGCTTCTCGCGATGAGGGAACCGCCAGAAGGCCCTCGGCGCTGGACCTCAGCGTCCGGGCAGAACAATGGTCTGCTCCAGATGTTGAATCTCCAGGTGGATAAGTCAATGCATCTTCTTTCTAACGCGCATACGCATTTCTGAATGCACATGCAAAAGCGTTTGAGCGCCACTGTGGTGCACAGACCTGCCATATTTCATATTCCATTGAGGCTCGTTCCCAACTGATGTCAACGACAGATCATGGTGTCATCTAAAGAAAACAAAGAGGCTTTGAAAGTGGTGAAAGGCAGGTGACTGCAGAGCAAGCAAATAGGACTGTATAAAGAAGGTGGTGCAGAGCCTTTAGTAACAATGGACTAGAGGTGGGAGGGTTAGAGATCCTTGATAAGGCAATCTGACTGTTACTAGCCTGTTCCTGTCCTCCCCTATGAATTGGGGGTGGATGGATGCTGTTTTAATTGGCGAGACTCTGTGTCAAGGCACGCTTTAAAATAGCCACTCTCTTGGTCACCTCTGGCAAGAAGGAGCCACTTCCAAGATAATGGAGCAGCCATGCTTGCTTGTTAATGTACTTGGCTCATTCATTTTTTATTTTTTTTAATTAATATTTATTAAAGTTTCAGACAAAATAGAATCACATTAATAAACAAGAAAAATTTAAAAAGAAAAAAGAAAAATACACAATACAAAATACAAAAAGATAAAAAGAAAAAAAAACAGTTAAAAACAATTCCGTCTTTTCATAACTTCTTTTACATTTACTTGTTTCCCGGACTTCCTCATACCTCCCTCATTTTTCCATTCTTTTAACCTTTTTAATCCTAATCCTTAATCTTGATATATTTATAACTTTAAAACCTGTACAGCTAGAAGCCACTTAACTTCAATCCAACATCACTCTAACATTCATTAGTAAATAATCTTTGAATTTCTTCCAATCTTCTTCCACCAACTCTTCTCCCTGGTCACGGATTCTGCCAGTCATTTCCGCCAATTCCATATAGTCCATCATTTTCATCTGCCATTCCTCCAGTGTGGGTAGCTCTTGTGTCTTCCAATACTTTGCGATGAGTATTCTTGCTGCTGTTGTAGCATACATAAAGAAAGTTCTATCCTTTTTTAACACCGATTGGCCAACTATGCCCAGGAGAAAGGCCTCTGGTTTCTTCAAGAAGGTATATTTAAATACCTTTTTTAATTCATTATATATCATCTCCCAGAAAGCCTTAATCTTTGGGCACGTCCACCAAAGGTGAAAGAATGTACCTTCAGTTTCTTTACATTTCCAACATTTATTATCAGGCAAATGATAGATTTTTGCAAGCTTGACTGGTGTCATGTACCACCTGTATATCATTCATGTCTCAAGCATCCAGCAGAGATGGCTAGATGCAGGCCTGGCCCCACCATGAGACAGGCTGAGGCAAGCGCCTCTGGTGGCAAAGCCCAAAAGGCAGTGCCCCTGTGGGGACCCCTCCTGCCCCGCTGCCACTGGGATCTTGCTGGAACCTGCCACCACGCAACCAAGGTAAGGGAGTCTTCTATGTGGGGCCATGAAAGATGGCCATCCAATCTCCGATGGGTTCATTCAGCCAGGGCCTGAGGCAAAATGAGAAGGTGCCGTCCCTGTCCCCCATCCTCTGCCACACAAGGGAAAGATGGGGAGAAGCTGCCCCCAGCCAGTGGCGGCAGCAGCAGGAACCACCAGACACTGAGCCCCACTGCGGTCAGCTCTGTGTTTCGCCTCTGAACAATGGGGGCAGCCTCCCCAACAGAACACTAAAATACAATAACCTATTAAACATTAAAAGCTTCCCTAAACAGGGTTGCCTTCAGATGTCTTCTAAAAGTCTGGTAGTTGTTTTTCTCTTTGACATCTGGTGGGAGGGCATTCCACAGGCTGGGTGCCACTCCCGAGAAGGCCCTCTGCCTGGTTCCCTGTAACTTGGCTTCTTGCAGTGAGGGAACCGCCAGAAGGCCCTTGGCACTGGACCTCAGTGTCCAGGCAGAACAATGAGGGTGGAGACACTCCTTCAGGTATACTGGGCTGAGGCCGTTTGGGGCTTTAAAGGACCCAGAAAGATGTCTGTGGACAAACGCTCGGCCTGAAAGTGAGATCAGCCCCATAGTCACCTTTGACTGGACTTAACCATCCAGGGGTCCTTTACCTTTACTTTTTTTACTGACTGCTATTCATTACTCATTAGCGACCTTCTCCCAATGCCTCACTTTCTCCAAACAATGTCCAACATCAAAGAAGGTGCTCCTCACTATCTCTTCCTTCCAACAGATTAGGACATTCAAGGCTGCTCTCAGCCATCAAAGAGCTTAGCAAAAGATAGGGGGAAGGAAGGAAGAGGGGGCAGGAAGGATAACCATGTCAGATCACTAACTCCTCGGCATACAAATATCTTCCGGGTAGATTGCCCATACAGGGGTTTCAGACAGGAGTCCTTTCCTCAGTCCTACCTGGAGATGCTGGGAATTGAACCTGAAACCCTCTGTTTGTAAAGCGAATTCTCTACCTCTGAGCCACATCCCTTCCTTCTCCACTGGCACGAACCAGCTGAAGGTGGTTTTGCCTGTGGAGCAGTCTCGCTGCCCGTGGTGTGTGCTTCTTTCCCTGCCACGTTTCTGCATGAATGTGCCCCAAAGGCACAGGCAGCTCAAGATCAGCAGCACAGCAACAAAAATTACATGTCAATACTTCATTACGACAACCCGTCTCTTGCCCCCGTTCGTTTCAGAGCACCGCAACACCATCTGATATATTGTTTGTTTGCTTCGTTCCATTTATGAATTGCTTCCCAGGAAGCATCTCAAAGCAATTTAATGGTTAAAAAATATATAAATACCTTTACAACTTCTAAATTCATTATAAGGTAGGCAATATTAAGCATAAAAAAAAAAATCCATTGATACTGTTTAGTTGTTTGTTTCTTGAGCCATAACTGTAGGAATGGGGGAGAGATTTGGCTCAGTTCACATTTAAAGGCAAACCGACCTAATCTGAACTTTCTGAAACAATACACCACCAACAAAAAACACAGTCATCCTTCAAAATTCACACTCCCCTGAATTTTGCAATGCACATATTCTTATATGCAGCCTTTTATTGAGATAGTGGAGTGGCTTGAATATGATGCTACCTATGAACCAAGATTGCAAACCATAGGTTTCACAAACCAGAATTGTAGCAGCACATAAACCGGGAGATTCTTCCACTTTGGAAGTCAACAGATTTAAGAAGCCAGGAAGTCTCCTTTTAAGCTGTGTGTGTGAGAAAAGATGGGAAGGAAAGGAGAAAGAGGATAAATTACTTGAGCCCATGTCTCATTCCTGTATACCTGAAGGAGCGTCTCCACCCCCATTGTCCAGTCCGGAGATCCAGCGCCAAGGGCCTTCATAAGGGGTATACATAAATTATTATTAAATTATTATTATTATTATTATTATTATTATTATTATTATTATTATTCCATTGTGGGTTTACAATATTGTTGTTGTTATTATTATTATTATTATTATTATTATTATTATTATTAATTTACTAAGTGCCCCTGAATGCCTACTTTGGTAGAAAACCTCAGAGCTGCAGGAAACCGAGAGTGGTATTCAATTAAGGTTTACTCATAGTAGACCCTACAAAAAGCATGAAACGATAAAATTATCCGTAAGAAAAATTAACAGCAATCATTTAAGACCTTCAAAAAGTTAAAATAACAATAGACAACAGATTATGACTCACGTCAGCATTCTAAACATCTGAGGACTCAGCTACATTACTCAAAAAAGTGTTTTAAATGCATTATAACACTGTGACAACAGGTGGCGATGTAGAGTTCGATCCTTCAGAAATGTGATTTTCCATTATGAGTTTTACAATGCGTTTTCCTGAAACGGTTTTTTTTTACGTGTCTAGATGCAGCCTGGGTAGGGTTGTCTGAACAAAAATGTTTTTAGCAGGTACTGTACCAGGAAAAGTACAGTGAAGCCTGGTGTCAATAGGCAGGGAGTTGCAAATTTTAAGTGCTGCCACACTAAAAAACCAAGTTTGCACAAATATGGAGCAAGTATTATGTGGCCGCCAGTTCTGCAGATCAAAGTGGCTAAGTGGCTAAGGTGAACTCATAGGTAAACCGGTCCCAAGTTGTTCAGCTGCTTTAAATCATGGCCACTGGTCCCATCACCTCCTGGCAAATAGAAGGGGAAGAAATGGAGGCAGTGAGAGATTTTACTTTCTTGGGCTCCATGATCACTGCAGATGGTGACAGCAGCCATGAAATTAAAAGACGCCTGCTTCTTGGGAGAAAAGCAATGACAAACCTAGACAGCATCTTAAAAAGCAGAGACATCACCTTGCCAACAAAGGTCCGTTAAAGCTAGTTAAAGCTATGGTTTTCCCAGTAGTGATGTATGGAAGTGAGAGCTGGACCATAAAGAAGGCTGATCACCGAAGAATTGATGCTTTTGAATTCTGGTGCTGGAGGAGACTCTTGAGAGTCCCATGGACTGCAAGAATTTCAAACCTCTCCATTCTGAAGGAAATCAGCCCTGAGTGCTCACTGGAAGGACAGATCCTGAAGCTGAGGCTCCAATACTTTGGCCACCTCATGAGAAGAGAAGACTCCCTGGAAAAGACCCTGATGTTGGGAAAGATGGAGGGCACAAGGAGAAGGGAATGACAGAGGACGAGATGGTTGGACAGTGTTCTCTAAGCTACCAGCATGAGTTTGACCAAACTGCGGGAGGCAGTGGAAGACAGGAGTGCCTGGCGTGCTCTGGTCCAGGGGGTCACAAGAGTTGGACACGACTAAACAACAACAGCAGATTGGCAAGACATGCAAATCACCGAGTGCAGGAGTTGCATGCTGGTAAGGCCTCGCTCCTGTCTGCAATCGTGGCATTCTGCACAAACTGCAGCTTCCAGATCAAGCACAAGGGAAGCCCCATATTGAGTACATTGCATGGATGGTGTGACTGTGGAAGGGGAGGGAAGGAAGAAGAGGAAGAAGAAGAGGAAGAGGAGGAGAAGGAGGAGGAGGAGGAGGAGGAGGAGGAGGAGGAGGAGGAGGAGGAAGGAAATGGGCAACTCGGAAGAGTGGACGGTTGGCTTGCCTTCAGGCCGCGCCTGCTTGTATGCAGCAGCTGTGGTGCGGATAGTACAACACTCCACTTACTGAATGACATCGGCTTTATTGGCAAGCCAATTCAATTAAAGCCACTGCGACCCAACAAAGTAGCAGGCTGTGCACTCTGCATAAAGAATATGGAATCGTGCCTACATTTCCTGAGTGCCCTCAGCCCTAGCTGTCCCTCTGCATGAGAGAAAAAGGGATGAATGAATTAGACTCAGATGATAGTAATTAATGGCTGGCTGTCAGAGAGTCATTCTGGAAGCCCAGCAATTGAGATGGGGGTGGGGGTGGGGGCTGGGATGGATCTGAATGTTGGGGAAATGAAGCCAAATGCTGCCCAGGCCAAGGCGGCCCGTGTCCCTGCCTCCTCCTCGCCGCAGCGCTCAGGAGTGTGAGGAATCGCCCTCCTGCCTCCTGCACTGATCAATGCTCGGCTCTCTATCGATAACATAAAGTAATTCATTCATTTTTCATTTTTACAGAAGGTATCCCGCAGGCCATAGTCACGAGAAAACCTACTTTGAGTTTTTGATGCAGGGCCATAACAAAGTTGCTTTTTTTTTTATTATAGGGCATGGGAACCAAGGGAACAGTCTTATGAAATATACATATAGGAAACCATTATTATTATTTTTTGCCGTTTGTAACAAACACGAGGCTCTCGAATGGGGAAATGTGGGGACTTTGCTGCATTGAATGGTGATTTCTTGGGACAAAGAGGGGGTGCTGAGCGGAGGCAGATTTACGGCAGTGCAACTGGTTCCACTGGCACCAAGCCTGGGGGCGCCACAGGGCACCACAACTATGCCACAGCGATTTGAGCAGATTTGAAGGCGAGATGCAGGGGCACCGAAATTTGGCCACGCACAAGGTGCCCCTCACATCTGAAAGACCTGAGTCTACGTGTGGTTCGAGTATGAAAGGAACACTCAAGTGCAAAGTTTAGCCATTTTGATTTTCCTGGCTCCTCTACACAGAACCTTGGGAACTGCAGTTTGCAAAAGTGTTGTATTCCTGTCCTGCTTTCGGGTTTCCCAAGATGCCTCTGGTTGGCCACTGTGAGAACACAGTGCTGGACCAGATGGGCCTGATTTTCTTACATTCTCAATATAGATTCCACTGGAAAGTGCAATACATAAGTAATGCACATTTAGAACTTCCTGACAGTAAGAGCTGTTCGACAGTGGAATTTGCTGCCAAGGAGTGTGGTGGAGTCTCCTTCTTTGGAGGTCTTTAAGCAGAGGCTTGACAACCATATGTTAGGAGTGCTCTGATGGTGTTTCCTGCATGGCAGGGGGTTGGACTCAATGGCCCTTGTGGTGTCTTCCAACTCCATGATTCTATGATTCTAGTACTTTTTATATTATTGTACAGTACTTGTATAAGGTAAGTTGCCTCAAGATGAATTCTAGCAGTAGGCACCTAAGAAAAATAAATAGACTTCTTGAGGGAAACCAGGATAATGAATGCAGGTGGAATCATAAACTCATCATATTTTTTTTTGTTTAATTGTTAAAACACCTATTCCACCTTTCCATATACACACACCTTTCATACAGTTACCTAAATTTTGCTACTCCTGCTTATGTTTTGGTAGAGCTGCAGACTATCTACATGTATGGGGGGGGAGCAAACATTCAAAATCTCTCTGTCTCCATGCATCACATGAAGGAGAACGCGGCAGGCCTACAGGGCTAAACCTGTGGCAGGTTCACACACACAGGCTTCCCGAACACATAAACTTTCTGACATGTTCGTCAAGCTTACCCAGTCAGGGTTCCAAAACTCATGGAAAGCCTAAGCGCCAAGATAGTATGCATATCTAGGTAAAAGGTAAAGTACCCCTGGAAGTCCAGTCCAAGGCGACTATGGGGTTGCGGCTTTCAGGTCAAGGGAGCCGGCGTTTGCCCACAGACAGCTTTCTGGGGCAAGTGGCCAGCATGACTAAACTGCTTCTCATGCAAGAGAACACCGTGACAGAAACCAGAGCGCACGGAAACGTTGTTTACCTTCCCACTGCAGTGGTACCTATTTATCTACTTGCACTGGTGTGCTTTCGAACTGCTAGGTTGGCAGGAACCGGGACAGAGCAACGGGAGCTCACCCCATTGCCAGGATTCGAACCGCCGATCTTCTGATCAGCAAGCCCAAGAGCAGGCATAGGCAAACTCCGGCCCTCCAGATGTTTTGGAGCTACAATTCCCATCACCCCTAGCTAACAGGACCAGTGGTCAGGAATGATGGGAATTGTAGTCTCAAAACATCTGGAGGGCCGGAGTTTGCCTATGCCTGGCCAAGAGGCTCAGTGGTTTAGACCGCAGCGCCACCCACATCCCATATGCATATCTTTGCATGCCTTTGAAGAGGTTCACACGTGATGATGCATGGATGATGAGGATGCATGGAAGTCAGGGCAGGGTTTGCTGGCTGTTCAACCTGGGGGGGGGCAGAAGGAGGCGCATGGCCCCTCCAGCTCCACGCTATGTGTGATGCTCCTTCTTGTGACACACATGCAGAGTGCTTCGGCTTGACCAAACGCTGATGATAAACAACATAGGAGAGCAGCCTCTGTCGAGTACTGCTTGGGGACAACCTCTTGAGCCTGCCTACAGCTGATGGGTGGGAAATCTGCAAATGATGTTCCTTAAATGTCTGGCATTTGGAATCGTTTCACAGGCTGAGGTTTGGAGTTGTTGGCAATCCTATTCAACATCCTGGAACTGCATCTTCACCTATGCCGTTCCCGCTAAAATGCAGATACGATGCTCTCTGATACCAGGAGCCCTAATCGATCGATCATTTTGGATTCTGCTGCTGCTGCTATCTCACGCACACCCAGTATAGTGTGCGCCATGTTTTAAATGAAAATATCGTATTTTTATGTTCTTGCTCCGGGCAAGTGTTTCTGAATCACGGAGCTGCCTAGCTGGAGACTTTGATCCTGCCTCCTGGAAAATCTTAAAGGCCTGCTTTACTGGGTCGTCATAAGCAAGCATAGAATATTATTTGTTTTATACATTTATTAAATTTGCCCTCCGCCCTTCATCCATAGATCTCAGCATAAAATACATAAGATAGAAGATTGAAAGATTCATGGAACTGTAGAGTTGGGACCACGGCGATCATCTAGGTTCAATTCCCTGCAATTGCCCAGTGTGGGGCTTGAACCCTGAGATTCAGGGTCTCATGCTATAGCAACTAAGCTATGCTATCACAGCTATATGCCACATTTTTCCTCCAAGGGCCTCGAGGTGGTGTTTGGGGCTCTCTCCTATTTCATCCCTCGTAACAACCCTGTGAGGTAGGTCAAAAGGAAGTTACTGGGCCCGGGTTCACCCAGCAACCTGGTCGTGGGTGCGAATCCTGGCCTCTCCCATGTCCTAGCCGGCCGCTCCTAACCATCACAAGCCACTGTGCTAGAGCGCGGTGGAAATGCATTAGCAATAATAATCGTGCTGCGCCGCTCGCCTTCCACCGCCCCGTTGGAAAGAAAAGGCAGAGCGGTCTCTGCTGTAGACAAGGCTGCCCTTTGAATGCCCGGGGCAGAGGAACTGACGGGCTGGCTGGCTGAACTCAAGGCAGGTCACCCGTCACTGCTCATCCTCTATCCTTCCGCTTCCCCTGGGGCCAGCTGTCCCCTTTACAGCGCGGCTGATGCCTCCGAAGACCGCATTTGTCCAGCAAAACGCTTCAGCCAAGCCAGTGATTCAGTTACATGAGGCATCTGAAGCTTCTGATCACCGGCAGGTCACGCAACTGCCGCGTCCCCGAGAGAAGGCAAGGGTCAGTGAGCCCCCTTTAGAACTCTTGGCTGCCTCCTAAACATAGCAAAGCCTCGTATCGAGAGGACAATGCCGCCCCTTCGTTCCTCATTCATTCATATTATAATTTTAAAAAAGGTTTGAGGCTGTTTTATATTATTATTATTGTTGTTGTTGTTGTTGTTGTTGTTAATTGAATTTATACACCGCCCTATACCTGGGGGTCTCAGGGCGGTTCACAGAATAAAATCAAGATATATAACCACAAAATACATAATAAAAATAAAAACAACAACCCAATAGGGGCTAACCAGGCTGGGATAGTTGGGATAGCAGGCTTGTTGGTTTTTGAATGTCTGATGTAGATTTTTCAATTTCGCTGTTCTGCATGGGACAATGACAATATAGATTATCGTATCATATTATTGTATCGTATCGTAATAACTCCCCCTCACACCCACACACAAAAAAAACATTTTAGAAGGGCATAGGATGTCAGTCAAATCAAACAAAGGCCTGGTTAAAAAGGAACGTTTTTGCCTGGCACCTAAAGGTGTATAATGAAGGTGCCAGGTGAACTTCCCTGGGGAGAGCATTCCACAGACAGGGAGCCACTGCAGAGAAGGCCCCGTTCTCGTGTTGCCACTATGGACCTCTCAAGGAGGAGGCACACGAAGGAGGGCCTCAGAAGATGATTTCAGGGTTCGGGTAGGTTCATATGGAAAGAGGTGGGCCTTGAGGTACTGTGGTGTTTCCCTCACATATTTACGCACATATATTCCCTCACATATATTTACAGTTATACGTGTTTCCCTCACATATTTGCGCAGAAGAAAGGCCTGTAGCTTTGAATGAGTTTGCTCACTGATGTAGAGCAGGGAACCTCAGGCCTGGAGGTGATATGTGGGCCCCCAGGCCTCTCTATCTGGCCCTCAAGATGCTCCCCAGGCTACTTCCCCCTCCTGAGCCAACGCTCTGCTCTGCATCCACCTAGGGTGTTTGAGCATCACTGGAATATGACCTTGAGCCCTGATCATGCTTCTTAAAGAGCCAGGATAGCTCCGTTGGTTAGAGCATGGTGCTGATAACGCCAAGGTTTCAGGTTCGATCCCCACATGGGACAACTGCATGGCAGGGGGTTGGACTAGATGATCCTCAGGGTCCCTTCCGCCTCTGCAATTCTGTGGCTCTATGATTCTTCCTTGGTTGAATGGAGGCCAGAGAGGAATGCATCTAGTGTAGGGTTGTCATACCTTGAAGAGCAAAAGAAGAGGACAGCCCGACCCAGGAAAAGAGGTACATCATGCCTCTTTCTCCAGCTCAGGCTGGCAGCAGCCGTGGCATGCAGAACAGCCCATGCTTGAGACTGAACCTGAGAAATACAAACAAACAACCCCCCCAAAAAAAACATTTCCTTTAAAATGTAAATTCCCCCCCACACACATTGCCCCCCCCAAAAGAGGACCTATTCAGGATTTCCCAGACGTTGTTGTTGTTTAGTCATTTAGTCGTGTCCGACTCTTCGTGACCCCATGGACCAGAGCACGCCAGGCACTCCTGTCCTCCACTGCCTCCCGCAGTTTGGTCAAATTCATGCTGGTAGCTTCGAAGACACTATCCAACCATCTCATCCTCTGTCGTCCCCTTCTCCTTGTGCCCTCCATCTTTCCCAACATCAGGGTCTTTTCCAGGGAGTCTTCTCTTCTCATGAGGTGGCCAAAGTATTGGAGCCTCAGCTTCACGATCTGTCCTTCCAGTGATCACTCAGGGAGATTTCCTTCAGAATGGATAGGTTTGATCTTCTTGCAGTCCACGGGACTCTCAAGAGTGTGGCAGACGTATGGCAACCCTAAACTAGTGCAAAGGGGGTGCGGCAATAAAACTGCTAGCACATCTGCCAAGCTAAGCAGGATCTGGCACTGTTTCAAATTGGATGGGGGACCGCAAATTTTGACTCCTGCATGACACTCAGGGTTCCTTTGAACTCAGCAATTCTATGATTCTATAATGGTGCAAGTCACATGTTTTGCTCCGCCTGCTTTTGGCTCTGGCCCTGCCCACCACAGAAGTTGAGTTACACACCAGAATGAGCTGTGTTTGAACCACCAAATCCCAGGTTCAAAGCAGACCTGTGCCATGAGCTCACTATGGGGTCGCTGTCCCATTGCTCTCAACTGCTGTTGCCCTGGACCTACCTTAAAAGGTTGCTGTCGGGGTTCCTGTAGGAAGATCAGATTTTATCTACTTGTTTTTTTAGCACGCATGGCAGATAACAGCACTGGGTCTTCACTGTTGGCTTTCCACTGTTGGTGGGGAGAAAACCAAGTGGGTTGGACTAGATGATCCTCAGGGTCTCTTCCAGCTCTCCCTATCTATCTATCTATCTATCTATCTATCTATTTAAATTTATATCCCGCCCTATATCTGGAGGTCTCAGGGCAGTTCACAGAAAAGATCACAATATATAAAATAAAAATAAAAACAATAACCCAATCACACACACACACACACATCCCTGCAAAAAGAGCCACATTTCAAAAAGGTATAGGATGTCAATGAAATCAACCAAAGGCCTGGTTAAAAAGGTACATTTTTGCCTGGCGCCTAAAGGTCTGTAATGAAGGCGTCAAGCGAACTTCCCTGGGGACAGCATTCCACAGACAGGGAGCCACTGCAGAGAAGGCCTGTTCTCATGTTGCCACCCTCTGGACCTCTCGAGGAGGAGGCACACGAAGGAGGGCCTCAGAAGATGATCTTAGGGTCCAAGTAGGTTCATATGGAAAGAGGTGGTCCTTGAGGTATTGCAGTCCTGAGCCGTTTAAGACTTTATAGGTCAAAACCAGCACTTTGATTTGGCCTGGAAACTAATTGGTAGCCAGTGCAGTCGGACCAGGATCAGTGTAATATACTCAAACCGTCTTGCTCCATGAGCAACCTGGCTGCTGAATTCTGCACTAGCTGAAGTTTCCAGACCGTCTTCAGAGGCATCCCTACATATAACGCATTGCAGTAATCTAATGTAGAAGTTACCAGAGCATAGACAACAGAAGATAGACTATCCCTGTCTAGATAGGGGCATAGCTGGGCTAGCAGCCGAAGTTGATGGAAGGCACCCTGGGCCACTGAGGCCACCTGAGCCTTGAGTGACAGCAAAGGATCCAGGAGGACCCCCAAGCTGCGAACCTGCTCCTTCAGAGGAAATGTAACCCCATCAAGACCAGGTAACCTCCCAGCCATCTAGTCTAGGGAACCAGCCACTAACAGAGCCTCAGTCTAATCTGGATTGAGTTTCAGTTTGTTGGCTCTCATTCTATATAGCAACCAATAAAACTGCAACTGGCAAAGTCAGCTAAGTTGACATTGTTGTTGTTTAGTCGTTTAGTCGTGTCTGACTCTTCGTGACCCCATGGACCAGAGCATGCCAGGCACCCCTGTCTTCCACCGCCTCCCGCAGCTTGGTCAAACTCATGCTGGTAGCCTTGAGAACACCGTCCAACCATCTCGTCCTCTGTCGTCCCCTTCTCCTTGTGCCCTCCATCTTTCCCAGCATCAGAGTCTTTTCCAGGGAGTCTTCTCTTCTCATGAGGTGGCCAAAGTATTGGAGCCTCTGCTTCAGGATCTGTCCTTCCAGTGAGCACTCAGGGCTGATTTCCTTCAGAATGGATAGGTTTGATCTTCTTGCAGTCCATGGGACTCTCAAGAGTCTCCTCCAGCACCATAATTCAAAAGCATCAATCCTTCGGCCATCAGCCTTCTTTATGGTCCAGCTCTCACTTCCATACATCACTACTGGGGAAAAGCTCCATGGACAAAGACAACAGGCATATAAAAGTTGACATTATCAGGTCCATTAAGAAAGCCATAGGAAGCTGCTATGCTGAGTCAACACCAACAGCCTTTCTAGGACAGTGTTGTCAACACGGGTTGGCAACAGCTCTCCAGGATTTCAGACATTTCTCCCATCCCTACCTGAAGATGCTGGTGATTTAATTTGGCAGTTTAGACATGCAAAGCACATGCTTTGTCACAGAGCTTTGGCCCTTCTTCTGAACAGGGAACAGCAGTTGGAAACTGATACACCAAGGTCAGCTCTGCACAAAAGCCTCAGTTTGTGTGTGTGTATTTAGCTGGCACCGAAAGATAGATGACGATGGTGCCAGCTGAGCCTCCGGAGGGAGGGCCATGTAAATGCTGCAATTTGTGCAAAACTGCAAAGGAAGTAGAAAACGGTGTGGCAGGGCGCCTGCAGGTTGAAGGTCGGATCCTGTCTCAAGAGCCCTGGAAGGCACAGTATGCTGAGTTCAGCTTTCTAAGCATACAGTCTACTAGGAAAAAGCTGGAGTAAATAGCAAGCGATCTTCAACATCTCCAACAACCCCAATGTCTGCAGTAAAATGTAGATGTCTACTACAGTGGTACCTCGGGTTAAGTACTTAATTTGTTCCGGAGGTCCGTTCTTAACCTGAAACTGTTCTTAACCTGAAGCACCACTTTAGCTAATGGGGCCTCCTGCTGCCACCACGCCCCCGGAGCACGATTTCTGTTCTCATCCTGAAGCAAAGTTCTTAACCTGAAGCACCATTTCTGGGTTAGCGGAGTCTGTAACCTGAAGCGTATGTAACCTGAAGCGTATGTAACCTGAGGCACCACTGTACAAGTAAAGTCAGGGGAGAGATTTGGTTCCGTTTGCATTTAAATGCAATTCTACATATAGAATCATAGAAATTCACCCAGTTCACACTTTCTTAAACCATGTGCGAACCAAAACGCAGCCATCCTTCAAAATTTGCATTTCTCTGAATTTTGCAATGCAGTTATCCAGTCTGTAGAAACGTGCATGCGCTAGGAGAAAGCATGCAAGAAAATGCATGTGTTGGTGAACATTAACATACAAAACTGCATTAGACGAAACTGTTGTGCAAATATGTGTCTATTGGGAGAAATCTGCACTAAAAGGCCGGATAATTTTCATAAACGCACGCACACCTATAGAGACTTGCATATGGCAAAGGACTGAACTTAAGCTTAAAAGAGAGAAAAAAACTGATATTGGGATCAGTCAGCATGGATTTCTGAAAAAATAAGTCATATCAGACTAACCTGATCTCATTTTTTGACAGAATTACAAGCCTGGTAGATGAAGGGAACGCAGTGGATGTAGCCTACCTTGATTTCAGCAAGGCATTTGACAAGGTGCCCCATGATATTCTTGTAAAGAAGCTGGTAAAATGCGGTCTTGACTATGCTACCACTCAGTGGATTTGTAACTGGCTGACTGACCAAACCCAAAGGGTGCTCATCAATGGTTCCTCTTCATCCTGGAGAAGAGTGACTAGTGGGGTGCCACAGGGTTCTAACACCCCAGAGGACAGGATCACACCTCAAAACGACCTTGACAGATTAGAGAACTGGGCAAAAACAAACAAGATGAATTTTAACAGGGAGAAATGTAAAGTATTGCACTTGGGCAAAAAAAATGAGAGGCACAAATACAAGATGGGTGACACCTGGCTTGAGAGCAGTACATGTGAAAAGGATCTAGGAGTCTTGGTTGACCACAAACTTGACATGAACCAATAGTGTGACGCGGCAGCTAAAAAAGCCAATGCAATTCTGGGCTGCATCAATAGGAGTATAGCATCTAGATCAAGGGAAGTAATAGTGCCACTCTATTCTGCTCTGGTCAGACCTCACCTGGAGTACTGTGTCCAGTTCTGGGCACCACAGTTCAAGAAGGACACTGACAAACTGGAACGTGTCCAGAGGAGGGCAACCAAAATGGTCAAAGGCCTGGAAACGATGCCTTATGAGGAACGGCTAAGGAGCTGGGCATGTTTAGCCTGGAGAAGAGGAGGTTAAGGGGTGATATGATAGCCATGTTCAAATATATAAAAGGATGTCACATAGAGGAGGGAGAAAGGTTGTTTTCTGCTGCTCCAGAGAAGTGGACATGGAGCAATGGATCCAAACTACAAGAAAGAAGATTCCACCTATACATTAGGAAGAACTTCCTGACAGTAAGAGCTGTTCGACAGTGGAATTTGCTGCCAAGGAGTGTGGTGGAGTCTCCTTCTTTGGAGGTCTTTAAGCAGAGGCTTGACAACCATATGTCAGGAGTGCTCTGATGGTGTTTCCTGCTTGGCAGGGGGTTGGACTCGATGGCCCTTGTGGTCTCTTCCAACTCTATGATTCTATGATTCTATGATTCTATGATTCTATCCATCTCTGACTACAAGAGAGTTGGCTGCAGTGAGTACTGTAAGGAAAATATAGGACTTTATTTCATTCAAGTCCATGATTAAGAAAACAAAAAGAACATTGTTGTTGTTTAGTCGTTTAGTCGTGTCCGACTCTTCGTGACCCCATGGACCAGAGCACGCCAGGCACTCCTGTCTTCCACTGACTCCCGCAGTTTGGTCAAACTCATGCTGGTAGCTTCGAGAACACTGTCCAACCATCTTGTCCTCTGTCGTCCCTTTCTCCTTGTGCCCTCCATCTTCCCAACATCAGGGTCTTTTCCAGGGAGTCTTCTCTTCTCATGAAGTGGCCAAAGTATTGGAGCCTCAGCTTCAGGATCTGTTCTTCCAGTGAGCACTCAGGGCTGATTTCCTTAAGAATAGATTGCTTTCATCTTCTTGCAGTCCATGGGACTCTCAAGAGTCTCCTCCAGCACCATAATTCAAAAGCATCAATTCTTCGGCCATCAGCCTTCTTTATGGTCCAGCTCTCACTTCCATACATCACTACTGGGAAAACCATAGCTTTTACTATACGAACTTTTGTTGGCAAGGTGATGTCTCTATACGTGCTCTCTAAGTCCATGCTGCTAGCTGACACTAACTTTATAATATGAATATAGCAATGAATATAACACTCTCTAGTCCCCATCCAAACACGCACTATCAGAGGTTAACGGTAAAATCTAGGCAGACAAGGACATTCAGAGCAGGACGAGTGAGGGATGTAACCCATTAGCATAATTAAAGATTACATCAGCGCTACCTTGGATCTGTCCTCTTCAAACACTTAAATCCCCCAGGTGTTGGTGGGTGGAATGTCTGCAGCGGGGAGACTTCTCAATTGGTGTAGGCTCCCTAGTTCATGATCAGAATTGGGCAGGCTCCTCACTCCAGTGAGTGAAGTTCTGCAGAGACATGCAGTGAAGTTGTGATGGAAGGTTGGAGGGTTGTGACCTTGCTCTCCTCTCTCCCTTGTGTGGTTCTAATTGTGTGGTGGTGAACAGGGCCAGGGTTCATTCTTAGCAGGGATTATAACAGGACTAGCAAACCCTAGTCAGAAAGAATCCAGTTAGCGTTTGCCACAATTCATATCAATGCAGTGGTACCTTGGTTCCCTAACGCCTTGTCTCCCGAACAAATTGGCTCCCAGACACTGCAAACCCAGAAGTAAGTGTTTAGGGGGTCTTTCTGCATGTTCTGCTAAGTGGGACCCAGAACCTCAGCCCTAAAGTCCTACTCGGGTGGCACCACTGCCCGGGTCCATGGCTGTTTCAAAGAGGGTTAAGGATTAAGACGCCATAATTACTTTGCAATATACTTTTATATTTTAGCACAGTAGCTGGTTTTCTTTTTTCTTTTTCAAGTTGCAGTGTTTTCTCAGCTGCGTTTTTATGTCAAGGCTAAGAAAAGGTTGGAACTTGCCAGAGAAAAGGAGGTGGGGAGCGAGGGAGGAGAAAACCACTTCCCTCACCCTGCCCACCCCCAAAAATAATACTTTCAGATAAACAGAGAATTTTTACCTGAGGCTCGAGTTTGATTTAGTGGAGTCCAGAAGAACAGGTCAGACACCTGAGTGTCCTTTTTCTCTGCAGGATTACAGGCATGAAAGTGTTGAACGGCTGCCAGAACGGTTTGCCCCCAGGTCTATCCCTCTGCTAATATATAATTGTGATGGGAAACCGTGAAGCTGATTTTGGAGGCTGGGCAGGGACGGTTGTCCTTTCTTTTCTTTTTCCCCCCGCAATAAAGAATAGAAATTATTTTTAAAAAGGTTTCTGTTTGTTTTAAATCTGTGATAGAAGGCCTGGCATGCCTTGAGTTGCAAAACCCCCAAAAAGCAATGTGGGGAGGGGAGAATAAGGTGGGGCGAGCTATAACCTAGAGGCACTCATCCTGCGTAGGCAGCAGGATCAAGCGGTGGAGTCCTAGGACTGTGGGAAGGTGCCTCGTATCAAGTCAGGTCGCTGGTCTATGCAGATGCGGCTGGCACACCCATGAGGCAAAGTGAGGTGACTGCCTCAGGTGGCAGAATCCACAGGGTCAGCAGGTTCCAATGTACCTCTTTACCCCTGCCTTGTCCCTGATGTAGATCTTCACCGACCCCTTCTTCCCTGGCGGTGGTGGGGAGCCATTTTGGAGACATGTGTTTGAGGTGTGTTAGTTTCTGCATTGGTTGGAGGGTGCGTATAGGGAGATGTTTTTCTTCCTCTCCCATAATACCAGAACAAACCAGCTTATATTCTTCACTGAGCAATCCAGCAATCTGTTAGTGAAGAGTGTAAGTTGGTTTGTTCGTGGTGAACACAGCAAATGTCCTTCCCAGACATTCTAGTTTTCTACATGCGGGGAGATATTGTTTCCATGGTGGGGGGTCATTATTCAATCTGCGGAACACCTTGATCCTTGATTCTAATAAACATGCAGCAGAACAGCCCCCATGTTGTTGTTGTTGTTATTGTTTAGTCGTTTAGTCGTGTCTGACTCTTCGTGACCCCATGGACCAGAGCACGCCAGGCACTCCTGTCTTCCACTGCCTCCCACATCTTGGTCAAACTCATACTGGTAGCTTCAAGAACACAGTCCAACCATCTCATCCTCTGTCGTCCCCTTCTCCTTGTGCCCTCCATCTTTCCCAACATCAGGGTCTTTTCCAGGGAGTCTTCTCTTCTCATAAGGTGGCCAAAGTACTGGAACCTCAGCTTCAGGATCTGTCCTTCCAGTGAGCACTCAGGGCTGATTTCCTTCAGAATGGATGGGTTTGATCTTCTTGCAGTCCATGGGACTCTCAAGAGTCTCCTCCAGCACCATAATTCAAAAGCATCAATTCTTCAGCGATCAGCCTTCTTTATGGTCCAGCTCTCACTTCCATACATCATCACTGGAAAAAAACCATAGCTTTTTAAGCCCCTATAAGTGCCCCTATTTACCAGGGAGAGTCCTGGATTTACAGACGCCATCCCAAATTCTGATTTGATCCTGGAATGCCCTGTTTTGCCTTAGGGCATCTCTATGTTCATCGGAGAAATATTGGAGGGTGTGGAGTTATGCAACCCCTGAGCCAAGGAGATAAGTAACAAAACAACCTTTAGAAGACATCTGAATAGTGTGTATAGGGGAGCTTTTTTAATGTTTAATGTTTTATTGTTTTTTTAATATGTTGGAAGGCACCCAGGGTGTCTGGGGCAACCCAGTCAGATGGGTGGTGTATAAGTAATAAAATTATTATTATTATTATTACTGTATTATTATTATTGAATCAGGCATCCCTATTTTCATCGGAGAAATCTTGGAAGGCATGGCAGAAGAAGCCCACACATCATGAGTCACCACCGCTGTTCCACCTCGCTCAGTACAGTCTACAAGGACAGGCAACCCCACCTGAAGGTGTCAGAATTTGAACTCGGGACCTTCTGCGTGCAAACAGATGCTCTACCGCAGAGCTATGGCCCTTCCAGAAGCTGATCACCATCAATGAGTAGCTTAAAAATATTTAAAAGCCCTGCTGGATCAAACCAAACATTTCCTGGGAGCCAGCAAGATGTTCCTGGCTCTTCAACCTCAGGATAGTCAGAGGTGCACTTCCTCTGAAGATTAAGCTGCCACAGATGTTGATGACTCCAAGCTTCCTTGATGAGATCTACAAACCTTCTTCCAGAATTCTTTGTCCAATTTTTTATTGGAGCTATCTTAGCTTGCGGCCAGAGCCATAGCTAGGTGATCTTGCGCCCTGGCAGAACCGTCCAGATTGTGCCCCCGAGCCACGGACAAATTAGCTCTTCTTTCCGCCTCTCCTCCAACCCCCACCCCACCCATTCAACTCACTCTCTATTTAAAACCATTTCTTATGAGGCAATGATCAATATTTATATTTATGGACACATTTTTTAGCAGATTTTGCACCGCCTGCCCCCCAATTGCTTGCACCCCTGGCAGATGCCCACCTCGCTACCCCCTAGCTACAGTCCTACTTGCAGCAAGGCTAGAAATTCTGAATAAAGGAGGGTAAGAGTATCCATGCTAGGAAAGTGATCTTGGACCCTGCCCTCTCCCCTCCTCTGCCCCCAACTCCTGTCCAAGGTGGACTTAACTTGGCAGAAGCTAGAAACGTGACAGCAAAAAAAAGTCAGGAGCAACTTTTGTTTCTGGGGCTGCAGTTAGCTTTGGCCGCCTCGCCATAACCCTCAGGGTGATGACATGATATATTAGCTGTAAAGGAGACACGTAGATGAAGAGATAATAAGCAAGTTGTCTCGGTAGTTTATATACAGTGGGGAAAGGGAGACGTAAGGAACCGGGTTGAAGAATCATATTTTTTGAAAACCTGTAACTCTGCAAGGGAAGGAAGTTGGCTGTGCTTTTTTCACATTGGGTTGGCTTCTTAAATGCCTTTTGAAAACCCCATTTCCCCGCTAAGAATATGAAAAGAAGGCCCTGCTTTTGGCTGCAACAGTCTAGCAGACTGGCTACCCTTCTGGGGGGAAAGGTGCCAGCCAGCCAGCCAGCCATGCCCTTTTCCAGGATATTCCATTTCATTCTCACTCATCCTCCTCCACAACCACCATGGCCCTGGTTTTCTGTCTCACCCGATTCCGATAAACTCCATTCAGTGTACTTTTGGCCACTGTTCAGTCCTCTCATGGCATAGTTTCTGGAGGTCTCTCCCCCCTTACATATCTTTTTTAGAGAAAAACAGAAGGGAGGAGAATGGAACGAAACGCCTCCCAAAAGAAACCAAATCTGGTGAAAATAGGGACGTCCCATTCCATAAAGATAATTTTACTATTTATACCCCACATATCTTACTGGGTTGCTCCAGCCACTATGGGCAGATTCCAACATATGTAAAAGCATAATAAAACATTAAACTTTTTTTTAAAAAACAAACAAACACCTTCCCTATACAGTGGTACCTCTGGATACGAACAGGATCCGTTCCAGAGCCCCGTTCGCATCTAGAAGCAAACGTAACTAGTGACAGCGCGTTGGTTTTTGTTGCGTCTGCGCATGCGCATAACGTCGTTTTCAGCGTCTGCGCATGCGCAAGCAGCAAAACCCGGAAGTAACGTGCTCTGTTACTTCCGGATTGCCGCGGAACACAACTCAAACACGCTCAACCCGAAGCACATTCAATCCGAGGTATGACTGTACAGGATTGCCTTCAGACGGCTCAGGGATTGGATAACTCCATACCCTCCAACATTTCTCCCATGAAAATAGTGACATCCTAAGGAATACAGGGAGATTCCAGGATCAAATCAGAAACCGGGACAGCTTCTCTAAATCAGGGACATCCCTGGAAAATAGGGACACTTGGAGTGTCTGCAAATCTGGGTATATAAAGGCCTTAACAACTTGGGACCAGATTACCTGTGAGATCGCCTTACCTCATATATGTCTTCTTGGCTGCTTCAATCTGCAGAACTGGCCGTGTTACGTGTATAACATAACACCCATTCTGCATTTGTAGGAAATCAATCTTTTAGTGTGACAGCACCTTCACTTTGGAACTCCCTGCCTGTTGACACCAGGCGGGCGCTTTCACTGCAATCTTTTCATCGCCTGCTAAAAGTATTTTTGTTTAGATGAGCCTACCCTGGAAGTGAGAGCTGGACCATAAAGAAGGCTGATCGCCCAAGAATTGATGCTTTTGAATTATGGTGCTGGAAGAGACTCTTGAGAGTCTCGTGGACTGCAAGAAGATCAAACCTATCCATTCTGAAGGAAATCAGCCCTGAGTGCTCACTGGAAGGACAGATCCTAAAGCTGAGGCTCCAGTACTTTGGCCACCTCATGAGAAGAGAAGACTCCCTGGAAAAGACCCTGATGTTGGGAAAGATGGAGGGCCCAAGGAGAAGGGGATGACAGAGGACGAGATGGTTGGACTGTGTTCTCGAAGCTACCATAATGAGTTTGACCAAACTGCGGGAGGCAGTGGAAGACAGGAGTGCCTGGCGTGCTCTGGTCCATGGGGTCACGAAGAGTCGGACACGACTAAACGAGTGAACAACAACAAATATGTAACCTGCTTCTGCTCCTCCCTCTTCACCCCTCTTCTGATCCTGGAAGACACTGGAGCAGGAGAGGTAGAGCAGGAGAAGGAGGCATGGAAGCCCTTGATTCTCTACCTGCCTGACCTTTCTCTTCCTCCTCCTTCACCTGTCCTTCACTGTCCGGCCCTTCAGCTTCTCCTGCCTCTGACTCTCATCTCCTGGCCGTTGCAGATTTCCCCCAGACCACTGATTCCTTTTTCCAAGTCCATCTCCATAAACCCAGACACCACTCCTCAATGTCTCAGCCAGTCCCTGGCATCCGCAAATGCCCCACCAGAGTGTTATCTGCCAAACCAGTCCCTAAGACAGCCCCAGATTTGGCTCGTCCTTGGGCCTTGCGAAAGACTCCGCTGTGTCGACGCCGTCGCTCTGGAAACTCCAAGGGCAGCAGACGAGAAGGAGGGAAGAATCTGCAGCGTGGATCTCATCCCTCTGCCCTGGGGTTGGGGTGTCGGGCTTCAACTGGATTACGTACTTAATTATAGTCTGTGGGTACAGATTTATTACGCTGGATTGAGAGATAGCTGCTGGAGCTTTGCCACATGAGAAAAGGAGAGTAAATGAACTGTGAAACCCTGGGCTGCCGAGTAGGGAGAGGCGAATCTGTCTAATTTCGGTTATCTCTGCTTCTCGTTTTTTCAAATCTTAAACCTGGTTCTCTGCATTTTCACAGCTGTTTGCTATTTAAAAATAATAATAATTCATTGGTGAATTTCTCCTGGGTTTCTGTGCAATCTTGCCTAATATAGACCTTTTTTTGTAAAGCAATTTACCCTAATATAAAGAATTTCAACTTTAATCAGTGCTATTTTTCTAGAAAAAGTGGTGCCGGAATTCAACATAATCTCTTAGAATGGCAATGACGCCCACCTGAGAGGTGCCAGAACTGAGTTCTGGCTGCAAAAAAGCCATGATTTCCAGTCCTTTTTTCTGAAACAAAGGTAGGGGAACTCACCATGAAGTTAGTTAGTTAGTTAGTTAGTTAGTTAGTTAGTTAGTTAGATAGTTAGATAGTTAGTTAGATAGTTAGTTAGCTGTGGGCCCAGTTGCAGCGCCACACCCTGCTCCCCGGGGCAGTGGCTAATTGTAAAATGCGATTAATAAACTCAAACTGACAGTGAGAAACGGCCACAACTTTATTGATAACAGGAAAAGGTGGATTTGGGGCTCAGGCATTGGGTGCATATCTGTTCCAGCACCCCTAAACAAACAAAAAAAAGTAATTATTTAATTTTTAAAAGATTAGGAAACTGAGTTCCCCCGAGTTCCTGCTAAAAAAAACTCCCGCTGTTTTAATTTTCACTAATATATGCATTAGTACATTCCTCTTCAACCAGGCCTTTGACTGCCAATGATTCTGTAGCCCTTTAAAGTGGGCAAGGGAGAGCGTTGTCCTATTTCACTATTATTATATTACATATTTTATATTTTTACGTTGTAAACCATCTTGCAGGCTCTTGGTGAAAGGCAGCATATAAATTCAATAGCTAAATAAATAATTTTATATCTGTATTTTTTTTGTACACACTGCTCGGCTGGAGAACTGCCCTGGAAAATTTAGAGCACTGATAATTTCCAAATGATGCCTGTCTTTTGGTCCACGTATTGTCTCAGGAGGCACAAATGAGATACGAATGCCTTTGAATGCAAACTGAGTCACATTTCTTTTCCATCCCTACTAATACGTATAACCTCCCAAGTATTGGAGGAGACGCGGCCTTCCAAAGGCAGATCAGTTCCCCATCCCTCCTATATGAGCTTACTTGGAAGTAAGCCCCACTGATGTCAGAACAAGAACAGAATGAGCAGAAGGGTCTATTATTATTATTATTATTATTATTATTATTATTATTACCCCACCAATCTGGCTGGGTTTTCCCAGCCACTCTAGGCTGCTTCCAGCACATAGAAAAACATAATAAAACATCAAACTTTTAAAACTTTCTGATACGGTTGTGTAGCCCTTTATCTCCTCAACATCTGATGGGAGGGCGTTCCAAAGGGGTCATTCTAAAATGACCACTGACTAGGAACTTCAGTTTAGACCACTGGCCAATCTGGCTTAGTTCTGTCAACACTGGCTGGCAGCACCTCTCCAGAGTTTCAGGTGGAGGCTATTCCCATCCCTGCTGGGGATGTCAGGGACTGAACCAGGGGCCTTCGACATGCCAAGCAGATGCTTCGGCCCTGAGCTATGGCTACCTGAAGGAGCGTCTCCACCCCCATCATCCTGCCCGGACACTGAGGTCCAGCGCCGAGGGCCTTTTGGCGGTTCCCTCATTGCGAGAAGCAAAGCTACAGGGAACCAGGCAGAGGGCCTTCTCGGTAGTGGCGCCTGCCCTGTGGAACGCCCTCCCATCAGATATCAAAGCGATAAACAACTACCTGACATTCAGAAGACATCTTAAGGCAGCCCTGTTCAGGGAAGTTTTTAATGTGTGACATTTTAGTGTATTTTTGGTCTCTGTGGAAGCCACCCAGAGTGGCTGGGGAAACCTAGCCAGATGGGCGGGGTACAAATAATAATTTATTATTATTATTATTATTATTATTATTATTATTATTATTATTTCTCCATCAAGGACCCTGAAAGAGACCCTTCCGTACTGCTTTCGTGGCATAGCCCACGGGCTACTGGTACGTCGAGGCCGGCTGAGAAGTCGTCTTGCTTACTTCCCTGGGGCAGCTAGAAATCAAGAGGAGCCACCGCCAAACGTATTGCAGATTTCTCTTTGCTCCTTTCAAATTCTTAAATCCAGCCTGGTTCAGGCCTGACAGATCCTTCGGCAGCCTCTGCATGCGAGCCGACTTCAAGGTTCCGTGTGATGTGGCACCCAGTAGGCTGTACTCAGCCAAAGAGATCTTAATTATTATGATTATACACGAGTCCATTTCCAAACTTCCAGGAAATCTGGAGCAGTGCAGTATGTACATCTTTAATTTAATTACTATTTATTATTTATCATCTCTTCCCCTAAGCCTCGGAGCTCACAGTCTTTAAAGAATTAGCCCAGCGCTACTAAAATATGCAATGCAGAAGCTGGCCAGCTTAATCATTCTCTTTCTGATGTTTTTTTAATTATTGCAGCCTCCACTCCTCGCCATCACCCCCTTAGTATTTCCTTCCCTGGGTTGGACTTGACGTAACGCAGCTCTTCTGATGGGAGGAAGTCGGGAGAGCAGGTGAGGAGAAGGTGGCCAAAGAGCGCCTTATTTGGGATGCGGAAGGTCCCCCTTTCCATCCCTCGGATCCCCAGCTAAAAGCACCAGGCAGGATCAGGCCAAGTAGCAACGGGGAGCATCCTTGGGAAAGGGACCCAGCACTGCTGTTCTAACTATGGAAACACCAACCACCTCTGGCTTTTAAAGAGGATTAGGCAAATTCATGGAGGATAAGCCTATAGGCGTCTACTCACCGTGATGGCTATGTTCTGTCTCCATCAGAGACAGCTTGCAGGAGACGATGTCATATTTGGGTCCTGCTTGCGGGTTCCCAATAGGCATCTAGCTGGCCACTCTGAGCACAGCATACACAAGCAACCCTCCATCTCTCAAATTGCTCTCAGCTCTATGGGAAAAAATATATAGCCCCCTGGGCCTGAGGTTCCCCATTCTTAGTTTACGTTTGAGCGCTGTGCCAGTCTTCCTATATATAAGAGCAATGTTGTACAGTGGTACCTCGGGTTAAGTACTTAATTCGTTCCAGAGGTCCGTTCTTAACCTGAAGCACCACTTTAGCTAATGGGGCCTCCTGCTGCCACCGTGTGATTTCTGTTCTCATCCTGAAGCAAAGTTCTTAACCCGAGGTACTATTTCTGGCTTAGCGGAGTCTGTAACCTGAAGCGTCTGTAACCTGAAGCGTCTGTAACCCAAGGTACCACTGAACTTGCCATATTTTTCCGTGTATAAGACGCTCCCATGTATAAGATAAGCTTTTGGTGGGGGGACTAAATTTAAAGAAAATGAGGGGAGATGGCCCAAAGCTTTTTTTTAGGGGGAATTGAACACACTCCATCACCCCCAGCAGGGCCGTTGCTGGGGGTTGGCAAAGTGGACAGCTGCTCCCCCCATGCCACTGTGGCAGGAAGCTCCCTGGTGCAATAGCCGCCAACCAGCTGGCGGGCAGACAAGCAGCTCCCCTCACACACACCACTATCCGTGTATAGGACAACCCCAGTTTTTTGACATGATTTTTGGGTCAAAAAACCTCATCTTATGCACGGGGAAATATGGTAAATCATTTGCCTGGTGTTGCTTCCCTTTGACTGCTTGAAAGAGAGACTGCAAACTCTTTGGAAGAAGAGCACAATTAGTTTCCGTGCTCCTTTTGCCTTCCACACACACACACACACACACACACACACACACACACACACGATCACGGCCAGCCTTAAACCATGAGCAGAAATGGGTGTTGGCAAGGAGTGTCCCTCTGGAAAGGCAGAACCATCCATCCACCAGCTTTTTTCCACTTGCAAAGAGCTGTGAACCTGGTCTGCAAAGGGGCTTAGGGCTAAAGTGAGCCTGGCATTCATTGTGTATTTGCAATTTATGTGCACTTTGAGGGCGGGGTTATTTAAATAGCCTTGAGAGCTTGGAGTGGGGGTGCAGAGTGTAACACTTTCTCTCTCTCCTGACAAAAACCTTTCCAAATCTAAGATCTGCAAGGGAAGCCTACAGCAATGCCAAATGGGAGCAAACGGCAGTTTTGGAGAGCGACGCGTTTTACCCAGATCCTGGCAAGGAGGGAAAGAATTAAAAACATCTCGCCATCTTGAGACTGCTCAGGTTTTGTGGCAGCTGCTGTTTAGATAGATGATAGATAGATGGGTGCGTTTTAGTAGCCCGGATGCAATTAACATGTCTAGTTTGGCCTTAATGCTTTGCTTCTCAGCCTAGGGGACAAATCTAGAGAGGAACGGCAAGTAGCTTTTTTTAATAATAAAAAAACTCCCCTTTCAAGTAAGTGGCAATGCAAACAGTAGAGAAGTACTGTTGATGTGACCACAGTAGAGTATACTACTGCTGCTTTAAACTGCAGATGCAAATACTGAGTAGGTTTTTTTAGGGGGAGATGTTGGGGGAGCATAAGAAACAATTTCTGGTGTGTTCTGTCTGTTCCCACCCTGCCCTCTATTTCAGTCGTCCTCCTGTAGATAAAATTGTGCCACTCCACTCTTTACCCTTTGGGCATTGTTAATTATCTCAACTGGTTATTATCAACTGGAAAAAATCTTTCGTCTTCTTGAGAGTGTCTTACGACGAACATCAGCCTAAACATGGGGCAGGGGGAGTTGTGACCTCTGTGCCTCAGTTAATTCTCATATCTGGCCATTTTTCTGTACTAATCTAATCAGTGGAGCAGTAGCAAGATTAATTGTTTGGGCTGAATAAAAGGGACCATCAAGCCATCTGGCTATCTGATATCAAGTTCAAAAGTTTCCAAATTGGCTTTTTAAAATCAGAGTAACCTTATGAACTGTGGGATACTGAGTTTAGGGTTTTAAACACACAGAGAGAGAGAGAGAGAGAGAGACAGAGAGAGACAGAGAGAGACAGAGAGATATTGAGATTTGATGAGCATCCCCTCAATTCCTTAATCGAAGTCATTTATAAAGATGGTGAAAAGTAATGGGCCCAAAACAAAACCTTGTCGCACCCTGTTTTTCACTTTTTTTCAGGATGAAGATTTGTGTAGGGTTTAGTCCTTGGCCTATTCTTCTCCCAAAGATGTATCACAAGGCAGTGGGTACAGATTTTCCCCAGGTCTAACTCTCACTCTAGGGACTCTAGGTTAAACCACAGAGCCTAGGACTTGCCGATCAGAAGGTCGGCAGTTCAAATCCCCGTGACGGGGTGAGCTCCCGTTGCTCAGTCCCTGCTCCTGCCAACCTAGCAGTTCGAAAGCACGTCAAAGTGCAAGTAGATAAATAGGAAACACTCTGGCGGGAAGGTAAATGGCGTTTCCGTGCGCTGCTCTGGTTCACCAGAAGCGGCTTTGTCATGCTGGCCACATGACCCGGAAGCTGAACACCGGCTCCCTCGGCCAATAAAGCCAGATGAGTGCCGCAACCCCAGAGTCAGCCATGACTGGACCTAATGGTCAGGGGTCCCAATAATAATAATAATAATAATAATAATTTTTATTTATACCCCACCCTTCCCAGTCAAGGCCGGGCTCAGAGCGGCTTACAAGCAATAATAAAAACAAGTTGAATGATTACAACTTAAAAACAAAATTTAAATGCAACATTAAAATATTAAAATGTAGCCTCATTGCAGGAGGAGAAGGAAAAGAAAAAAGAAAGAGAGGGAGGGAATCAAATTGGCTCCAAGCCAAAGGCCAGGCTGAACAACTCTGTCTTACAGGCCCTGCGGAAAGAAATCAGATCCTGCAGGGCCCTGGTCTCATGAGGCAGAGCGTTCCACCAGGCCGGAGCCAGTGCTGAAAAGGCCCTGGCTCTGATTGAAGCCAATCTAACTTCCTTAGGGCCCGGGACCTCTAGGGTGTTGCTATTTATGAGGCTCTCCGTGGGGCATACCAGGAGAGGCGGTCCCGTAGGTACGAGGGTCCTAGGCCGTGAAGGGCTTTAAAGGTCAAAAGCAGCACCTTAAATCTGACCCTGTACTCCACCGGGAGCCAGTGCAGTTTGAAAAGCACTGGGTGAATATGCTCCCATGGCAGAGACCCTGTGAGGAGCCTCACTACAGCATTCTGCACCCGCTGGAGTTTCTGGGACAGCTTCAAGGGCAGCCCCGCATAGAGCGAATTACAGTAGTCAAGCCTGGAGATGACCGTCGCATGGATCACTGTGGCCAGGTCGGGGCGGTAAAGGTACCTTTACCTTTAACTCTCACAAATGAATATCACCACAAGGCAGCAGAAGTTCAGGACCAGAGTTTTCCTTCCTGGGTTGACAAACCACCAGCCAAGGAGATGTGTACAAAAATGCATATACAAAACTAAACTGCATATATCAGTGAAAATAATGGGCAGAAATCCATTGTATTTGCAGAACGTTGCTTTGCAAAAGAAAGGAAGAAGCGTTTATTAGGCAAAACAGCATGCAGAAATGTGTATATCTGGAGACGATCGAAGTGAAACTCTGGTGAATTTTCACAGGGGCTTTTAAAAATAGCAATGGCAGTCAGAAAATGATTTGGAAATGTGGCTGACTGAATTTAAGACTGGGGAAATGAGAGAAACTGAAATTGACAGATCCACCCATCCCTGCCTGCACACATCTCCGTCCTCCTACAGAAGTAAGACATGGGGAAAAGATGCCTCAACTGCCCCCTGCAATCTCTGAACCGTGTGCCTCTTCTGTCCTTAAAAAAAAAAGTGAGCAGGTTTACATATGCATTTCGAAGGCTCAGAATCGGAACGTTTCACATGTTCCTAAGCTCAGCCCCTGTTGCAAAACGAGCGAGAGCCAGCCGGCGGGAATCTGAAAGGGTTAAATGCCAACGAGGAAGGGGGTGGGAGATGTCTGGCACTGGAGGGGCATCAGGTTCCACAACTGCTGAAATCCAGAAGGCCCCTCCACCACAACCCCACTCGTTCCTTCTCTCTCTCTCTCTCTCTCTCTCTCTCTCTCTCTCTCTTAAACATAGCACTGTTTGTCAAAGGTGTCATGTGATATTAAACATGATCTCAAACCTGTGAACACTGACCTTTGCCCCTCTTTTTCAAATCTGAAATGTAGATTTGGCTGGGATACAAACTCCAGTCGGCGGAGGAGCCGGCGCTGAAAGTTTGCAAAGCAGTTTCTGAATCGGGAGCGAGGCGGGGAGAAGGGGGGAAAGAAAGGAAGAAAAAAGGCGGTACAATGCCAGGGTCAGCGTAACACAAAACACGCCGGCCCCCTAGACATAACACAGACTCTCTCTTTCTAAACACCATTATGAGCTGCTAGCCAGACCCAGCAGCAACAACACACACACCCCCCCTCCAAGCAGGCAGCTCAAATGTACACCAAACTCGCATTTCAGCTCCTCGGGGCAATTGCTGTTCAGCATCCCATTTTAGACTCCCATTTGTGGTTCGGCTTTCTCAAGACGCTGCAATAGCTGAAGGCGTTTGCGGTGGCCAGGAGCGAGAGGGTGTGTGTGTGTGTGTGTGTGTGTGTGTGTGTGTGTTGGGGTGTTGCGTTGTGGAAGGGGGAGAGAGAAATGTCTTCAGAAGGGGAAGGTTGGCAGATGTTGTGTTAACTTCAGTTCGCTGCAATGTTGAACTGCAAAA